ACTTCAGTGTGAGTGAGTAGGTTTTAAATGACAAATCTACTCTAACATTTCAATTTTCCTAAGCCTTTGAATCCCTTCCTTAGATTAAACCAAGGCAGATATGACATTTCCAACTAATTCGTTGTGGGCCACATTGAGGTCCGTGTTTCATTCAGCCAAAATGTTAGAGCCTTTTATAACTCTCCAACTTGTAAACATTAAATGCAGAAACTGTTGCTTAGTGAGCCTATATTAATAAATTTAGGCCAATCCAACTTTGTGTTTCTTCCAGTATTAACCCACACCCTTAATGTTCATTCCCACATGTTATCTGAATTTCTACCTGTGTAATTTAGAAAACTCAAGTAGTTCTTTTGAAGTGTATTGCACATCCTCTTATATAGCACTCTTTGCACCTCACCTTGGTGAGCTGACTGCGACTTGAGTCTAATTGTGGGTACAAAAACAGAGGTGTGATAAGGGTGGGTTCTAAGGAGACTCATCATTGTCTTAAGACAATATAAGTTGTCCCTAAGATAGTGACAACTTTCTTAGAGAGGTCACTACAGTTTCTTTAGACAATTCAGGGTTAGTACCTTCTGGCAGAGGTGGAGAGACCACTCCTACTGCCAAAAAGACTCCATGAATTTTAGGGGCTCATCTCTCTCAGCTTCATGAAATTCTTCCCACATATAGCTATTCTGACTTTCAGGATCATATTCCTTCCCAATCTAAGTTCTCATTTTACCAGTAGACATCCTATAAGACTGGGAGTTCAAATGGTTTTATAATTCAGCCAGTCACAGGATAAGATTTTGGGTTTAATTTTCCAGCAATATCATCATTGCAGCTAAAAGCGACAGAGATCTCTTTCAAGGCACACATAGAAATACAGTAGCTGAGATCCTTGCTTCTTATAAGAGGTTGATTAGGATGATCCAATGCAGACATTTTGCATATCTCTATTGGCAGATCATGCTATGAACTAGAGGTGCTCTCTTTGCTACTAATAGTAGTCATCAGTATCTTAAATACAATCCGATTTCAGATTCAATTCCAGAAGCTCTAGCACTAATTCAGATCACTTATCCTTAAAATTCTGTTCTGGAATTACTCTCAGTACCAAACTCTGTATTAGTCAGTGTTCTCCAGAAAAACAAAGCTAACAGGATAATGATGTGTGGTGTGTGTGTGGGTGTGTGCGTAGAGAGAGCGAGCTTTTTCTTTTCTTTTTCCCCCTAACTTTGGCAGAGGGTGTATGCACTCAATAGAGAAAGCAAGGTTGAGAGAGAGGGAAAGTGAAAAAGTATCCCCTATGGGGAATGACATGCCACAATCCCTTGTCCTCTCTCTCCCTATGGGAGCGCGCATGTGCGTGCGTGCATGCGCACACACACATGCACATGCACACACACACACTCATCATGTTTTTTTTTATTATTATTATTTTCAAGCCACTGGGTCCAGGACTTGAACCACATAGTCAGCCAAGGGGGATCCAGTTGCCTTAACAACCACACCACAGGCCAGCCTGAGATTTTTTTAAATATGATATTAGAGAGTTGATAGTATAAATTCTAGTTACAGAGCTGGCAGGCTCGAGATCCAAGAAGAGCCCATATTCCAGGATGATTTTGAAGCAGGCGGATGGAGTCATTCCTCCATTATAAACTGTTAAACTCCTATGACTAGAAACTTGACTTCTCCTTTGGCCTAAGAGCAAATAGAGTGAATTAATATTCCTATTGTCTTTAAACCCCACTCCTCCTAGTTGTGTTAAGATACAATCGCCCATCACTGGACCTTGCTCAGAGCCGTGGAGACCATCGAGATGCCATTGTGTTTAGGAGGGGATGGAACCTACCCTTAGGTATGATTAACCTGCTTACCTGCATGTTCTGCCTCTGTGATGCATCTTGCTTGATTTTATGGTTGTAAAATATGCCCCCTACCCTTCCAAGCCCACCACACTTTGTCCTCATAATCATCGCATCATCAGGGGGAGGAAAACTTGTGATCTTTGCCTTTATAAGCACCCTTCTCTTTTCACTCTGGGCTGTGGGGTTTTGAGAGACATGAGTCCCTCCTGTATGCTGCTGGCTTAATCAATAAACTCCAATAAATCTGGCAATGTCTGGATGTCCTCTTATTTTTTGGCTATGTTTTGATGTCCCCTTATTTCTCACTGATTTGACTATAACAATTTTAAGTCAGGAAAAGACCAATGACCAGTGCTTAGGCACAAGCCATCATGCAGATGTTCCTTTTTTAATCATGGGAAGGTCAATATTTTTGTTCCATTCAGGTCTTCATCTGGATAATGGCCAACTTCCTTAGAAAGACAAGTGGTTTGGAACCAGCAGTTGGTGTAATGGCTATGTCACTGGACTCCCATGTAGTCGACAGTGGTTTGAGTGCCGGACCTGGTGGCTTAAACTCATGCCGGGCACACGCGTGTGCATACCCAAGAGGAGAACAGAGGAGAAGGGATTGTGGCCATCCCCCCTGGGGGGGGGATTTATCACTTTTTGTCTTTCTGTCTCTCTCTGTTTTTCTGGTGAGCACATGTGCCGTATAGGAAAAAACCTCTCCAAAAAAAAGAAAGACAAGTGTCTAACTTCCTCAGAACAGTCAATTTTCATTATTCTGCCTACTGTCTCAAATGTTGATCTCATCCAAAAATACTCTCAAAGAAATGCCCATAATAATGTTTGACCAAGTATCCTGGCACCTGATGGCCCAATCAAATTGACTATACAGAGACCAGCAGATGGCATAATGGTCACATCGTTGGACTCCTACATAGTTAACTGTGGTTTGAGTCCTGGACCTGGCAGCTTGAAACTCATGCCATATGCATGTGCGTGTGTGCCCAAGATCCGAAGAGGAGAATGGAGAAGGGACTGCAGCATGGCCATTTCCTCTGAGGAGTGACTTTTTTTACTTTCTGTCTCTCTGTCTCTCCGGAGAGCACACATGCCCTATGGCCAAAATCTCTCAAAAAAAAAAAAATTGACCGTACATAGTATTTCCCATCCCCACTTGTGTCTCCTGCTGTGTTTCCCCTTGGCTAATATTTAATATCTGATTTTTTTCTTTCCTTGACCAATCTTTGACTACTCAGATTTCTTCTTGACTAGGCCTAGACCTTGGTTCTCATCTTGACAGGTATATATAGCCTACTTTTATTAAAACTTTTTGTGAAGGCCAGCCCATGTCATGATAGAGCAATTGTTATGACTACACAATTCAAATTCTGGACCTGGCAGCTTGAGAAACCCATCAGATGCATGCGCATGCATGCGTGAAAATTGAGAAGGATGAGAAGGGATTGTGGTGTCACTATGCCCCATGAAGGATGCTTCCTCAATACCCTTCCCTGGCAAGTATACATGTCCTTTTGCAAAAGGGCAAAAAGAATCTCACTAAGTCAATTTATAGAGAATTCCCTACCATTGGGAGCTGAACACTGTCAGTATCTGAGCAATTTCTTCATTTTCCCATCTTTACTGTATTGGTTCTCGATCTGCCATCAGCAAGAGTTCCGTTAAGTCTGTTCAGCAATAATTTCCCTGCTTCGGATGTTTCCTCTTAGTAACTTACCATTCACTAATCCCCTCACTCTGCTGATTTACTGTAAATCCCTACCTGTTTTTGTTGTATTCTGAGTTTAGCTTGAGCTCTTTCCCCCATTGTGATTGTCTTGACATTGGTTGCAAGAGTCCTGAGTAAAGTCTTCCTTACTGTCAAAATAATTTTTTTTCTTTAACAAGAAAAATGATGATAAAGAAATGAAGCCACCTTTGGCTGACAGGCAGGATCATTTGGGAATTCTTTATTCACCAGAGGTTTAATTGTTATCTACGAAGTTAAATGGTTTGTATGACAAGACATCTGTATATAGACTTTCTTTTTGTTAATTCCTTTGGTTTTCAGTAAAAAGCTCTCACTCTTTAATCTACATATTTACTCAATACAAAGTCAAATATACTTTGCTTTATGAGTAATTTAAGGATTTTTAAAGAATATTGACTACTTAATTTTTTTATCATTTAATTCCTGAATAAGAAGGTATTCTCTGTTACTTTGTATTTTACAATACCCTTTAACTTGAACAGTTAACTGTCTATTCAAAGCAACCCTGTTAAGACAGTGTTACTATCTTCGTTTAAGAGACTTGGGCTGGCCCAGGGAGCCAGATCCCACATGACTGTGTGGTTTGAATCCTGGCTGTGGTGCCTGGTAAAACACATCAGGCACATGTGCATGGGTGCCCCAAATCCCAACTGGTTGGAGAAAAGGATAAGAAGGAATTGTAAATGGCCACGCCCCACTGAGGGGTGCTCTCTCACATTCCCTCTCTTTTTCTGTCTCTCTTTGGCAAGTACATGTGTCCTCTGGCAAAGAAAGAAAGAGAGATAAAATAAAAGAGTAAGGAGACTGAGAGTAAAATGCAGACTCATTATCCAGTTGGAAAAAAGAATGTTAAATTTTTTGAAGAATATTTACTATAGACTTTTAATTTTTTTTAATGATTATACAGCCTATTTCTGTATCAAGATTTTAAGTAAGGTCCTACGTTGACACTGCTTGGCCATATGAGTTGCTTTGGTCAGAGAGACAGTGGTATACGAGCCACAAACAGAACTAACGAGTGTTGGTACGTTTGAGTTTGCTTTCTTGCTCCTCTTGGAATTCTGAGACTTTTTCATGAGTAAACCTGCTGGGGGGTTTGTTCAGTCCCTTCCCAGTTGCTCCCCTCACCAACCTTAGCCAGCCGATACCCAGAAGCAGAGCAGCGCGGATCATCAACTGTTGTCCCAGGTATTTGAATCCAGTCACGATCAAAAAATATCCATCTGAAGTCAACCCAGATTCCCAACCCACATAATCAGAAGCTCAATTACTGCTTTCACTAAGTTGAGCATGGTTCATATCACAGCCAAAGCTAACAGATACAGTGTGAGTGACATCAAGATGGATGACTTTGATGTAAAGAGCTTGGCATAGCCCACACTTACTTAGACTGTTGGTAAGAATATGCAGGTGCATGTTCACTGGATGTGTCCACTGCTATCTGTTGCTGCTGACCACTGGTGTCTTGGGATGAAGGTGCCACTGTCTGGGGAGAGGTATCAGCAACAACACCCTAAGGAGGTAAATAAGAACACAAAGCCTTATTTGCTTTAGCAAAGGGCCCTCTTCTAGATGGACTGTCTATACCCACTCTTCTATTTGGCTATAGTAGAAATTCTCTAGGAACATGAAGCCATGTTAGCTACTGAAAGGCAAACCCAAGCACCTCTGAATATAGGCTGAGGAATTCATTCTCATGCAACGCCAAAAAGCCTTGCTATCAGAAGTTTTTGGAGTAGTCCAATGGTCAGGAAATATACTTGGAACTTATGCTCATACTTGGAACTTTTAAATTTTTTTTTGGAGAGGTTTTGCTATAGGGCGCGTGTGCTCGCCAGAGAGACAGAAAGCGAGAAATCACCCCACAGGGGAAAAGGCCATGCCGCAATCTCTTTTCCTCCACTCTCTTCTCGGGATCTTGGGCACACATGCACACGCACCCAGGGTGAGTTTAAGACACTGGATCCCGGACTTGAACCGTGGTCGACTATATGGGAGTTCAGCGACATAGCCATTATGCTAACTGCTGGTCCCTCATACATGGAACTTTTAAACCATGGTTGCATACAGTCATTAGTAAGTAACAACTTACTAATCAAAAAATTGATTCAAGATTTCTATAAAAATACTATAGTCAAATACTTCCCCAGGGTAGTTTAATGTACCGAGCCTACATCACTTGTCAAGACAATGGACTCTGACCTTAGTAAAAATCAACATCAAAGTTTGGAAAGCCTCTATGAGAACACTGTTAAATAAGTTTTCTCTTCAGCAATTTAATTAACTTTATTTTGCTTTGTTTTTTCAAGCTATGAACTGGAATATATTTAGAAGTTTCAAAGAAATAAAAACTAAAACAACATAAAGTAAAATCTCATCCTTAATTTTGTTTATTTTTTCTTCACCCTTTCTATCTCTTGTTTCTCACAGATGCCAGCAATAAGAGATTTCTGAAGCTGGTTATCATTAGAGAACATGTATTGGTCCCAAGAAAGGCACGAGTGCTGTTTTTTCTTTTTTCCCTGCCTTTAGTAGCCTTAAGGAGGGCATCTATCTGAATATATTCTCCTGATTTTACTTAGAGCCTTACATAGCTGTAGTGATGTTGAGTTAGAAATGTCTTGGTCAATACTTCACCACTAATGAATGAGCACTGAAATGATCTATTAGAATCTGGAAATTCTCCCTACAGTCATTCAATCTTTTTCCCCCTAAGTGCTATTATTTGCTATTGTATATTTCTCTTAATATATCACCAACATATATTTGCAAGGTTACTGTGAACATTCAATGACTACTTTTACATAGAAAAGGAATCAGTGGGGCCAACAGGTGGTGTAGTGGCTAAGGTGCTGGACTCCCACATGGTTGACTGTAGTTCGAGTCCTGGACCCAGAAGCTTGAAACTCATGCCAGGCACATGTGTATGTGTATACACTAGAAGGTACAGATTCTCAATTTTCTCAAACTGTAGCTGCTTTCTGATAGCTAAATATAGCAAGGAACATGTAATTTGATCACATATTATTGAAATTCTGAAAAGCCCATGAAAACCTGTTTCATATGACACATTATTAGGCACCCATGTGTCTGGAACACATAAAAAGACTTAACATTTTGTGACCTCCCAGGAGTCTTACACTACATAATGGCCCTGTTAAACTCTGTGTTTTCCCAAATCTTGATAAGGGCAAATATTTCTCACACACCAGAAACAAATCAGATAGCAACTTTTTAAGGGATCCAATTTGGTCTGTGAAGGTCTCCTTCAATATCTGTAGTTCTAGAGAGCGAGAGAGAATGAGATTTTCATATGGAGTAGTGCCAATACGCAAGTTGCTGGTCAATTCATAGAATAGCAAAAATATATATTCTAGAGGATTCCTAGCGTATGTTAAGAAATGTAGTGTGGGGACCAGCAAATGGTGTAATGTTTATGTTGCTGGACTCCCATGTGGCCAACTGCAGTTTGAGTCCCAGACCTGGGGCTTGAAACTCACACTGGGCATGTGTGCGTACATGCCCCAAATCCCAAGAAGACCATGGAAGAGAGGGATTGCAGTATGGCCATCACCCTTGGGGGGTGATTTCTCACTTTCTATCTCCCTGTCTCTGTCTCTCTGGGAAGTGCATGTGCCCTACAGCAAAACTATCTCTAAAAGAAAGAAAAATAAATATGTTGTGACCATAATACACACATGCATCAAGAGAAAGGGGAAAGGGACAATAAAAAAATTAATGACCAGACACAGAGAGAATTCATATCTATGTGTTCTACCACTGTCTGTACAATTCTATACCTTTTCCTTTTCTATATGACATAATGACTCTACCCAATAAAATGATGTATAGAGGAGGTGGCTTCAGCTCAGTGGAAAGAAGGAAAAGAACAAAATATCCATTAAAGACAAGATGACATCATCACTTATGATGTCCACTTTTTTCTTACTTCAACTTTTTTTTTTCTTGTCTGTAGGGAGTCATAAGCTTAAGATTCATCCACTAGAGCAGTGGTTACTAATCTTTAGTACATATTGGAATCACCTGAGATCTTTTAAATCTGGATATCCAGTCCATACCCAAGCCTAGTCAGTCAGAATCTATGATAGGATCTAGAAATCCCCCAATTTTTAGGCTTCTCCAAAAATTTAAATGTACAGAAAAGTTTGAGAACAAGTGTCTTTGGTTTTAATGTGCATCTAGATCACTGAGGGGTTATTTCAAAATACAAATTTAGGTTGAGTAGGTCTGGATAGTATCTGAGAATCTGCATTTCTAGTAAGTTCCCAGATGATGCCACTGATGTAGTGCAGGGAATACTCCTTTTTTTAAAATAATTTTTTATTTTCAATTTTACTTATTCATTCATTTATTTTAACTTGACCAGAGAGAGACACACAGAGAGAGAGGAAGTGAGAAAGTGAGCCACCAGGTCCAGGACTTGAACCACAGTTGACCATGTGGGAGTGTCCAGCACTTTACCCACCATGGCACCTGCTGGTCCCGGGAATACTCCTTGAGTAACAAAACACTAAAGAAACAGCTCATGTTGTCTTCCTACATACGACTCTCTGTGGCTAACATTTGATTGAGTGGTGATGCGGTCTCTTGACTTTTCTCTACATATGAGAATGACACTCCCCAACCACTTGTGTAGAGGATCAGCTCATTTCCTGTGCAAAGCAAGACTGATGTGTGTTTGAGTAAGTGTGCATACCTCCATAGACTGAGCTTGCGATTTCCAATTCTAGAGCAGCACAAAAATGACACACGAGGATTCCTAAGATTACAGGAGACTGTACTATGTGTGATGGAAATTTACTTCTCCTAAGCTCTTTCTATAAGACAGGGATGGACTTACTTCAATAGAAACAGCTGTCGGAGGCACAGGCGTGTACTGGGGAATGTAGGTCCCTTGCATAGGAGCCGCAGCAGTCATATACTAGAGGGAATCAAAGAAAACACCACGTGAACTTGGGGTTCTATCCAGACAAAACATTAGCTACCACATGAGATGGTTTTTTAGGTGTGGCCAAGGCCAATGCATGATTCGTCAAACTCTATTTCGACTGAAAATAAGGCAATCGTTGTAAGAGTGGAATGAGCTTTGCTTTACTGATTCAGGACCAACAGCAGCCCAAACTCTGCAGCATCAGGACAAGTTAATATACTCCATCCTCTCATTTGTCCTTCTAAACATATGAAAACCCAAACATTTCACATCTAAACCCAAACTCCATGAGGGTGGGGGTGATGCTCTCCATATTAGTGCCAGCACCTATCGCATAGCAGGCTCTCAACAAATATTTGTTGAATGAATGAATTAATCATGTTCATGGTAATTCATTTTCTAACAAAAAGAAAGTAGAGGAATAATGTAAGAAATACTTAGCCACATTCGGAATCAGAAAATATTATTGTTTTTAACCTCCCTCCCTCTTGTTACTATAAAAGAAATAGAATGTTATGAATAATATTGAAGTTTCCTTTGTTCCCTTTTCCCATTCCTTTCTTATATCACTGCCAGTATATATATTTTTTCCATCTCCTTCCATCTCCAAATTTTTTAAAATCACTGTACATATATTATGTACATTATATTATGGGTACACTATATAAATATGTGTTGAGAATTACAAGTATTTTTTGCAATGAAGAAAGGGAGTCCAGAGAAATTGCATGCTCACTTATGTAGTAGGAAGTGTGACCTATATTTCTATTTCTAACACACTTTCTTCTTGTTGATTCAAAGTTGTACTCTTTTAAAATGGAATTTTCTATGGAATCAACTATATTTCTGAGTTTCTAAATGTGATCGATATCACAATATATCAGGCCTGACATCACCTAATGAAACAGGTTTTTCAGTTCACAAAGATTAGAGGAATAATTTATATGAAAAATCGTATCTGGTTCTTCTGTACATTTGCTGAGATAAAATATTAAGGCCATGTATAAATATGGAAAATTTAAATTACTATATTTTGTCTACCTTAGCATTTTCAGTATCCAACAGGCATGATAATTTTGAATCAAGGGAAATGTCTTAATGGAGAATAATCCACTGGTGATGGTTGTTTAATATTTACAGAGAATTACAGCAATAAAGCAATTTTGGAATAAATCCATCTCCATCCTGAATACTGTTCTGTATCTATTTGCTAAAACTGGAATAGTCTTAATAAAATAACCTTAAACCAAATGAACATAACTGTTGTCTATAATCTGTGTGTTGCTACTAATAAAAAGTGCAATTTATATCTATATAAAAACTATCTTGCAATTTGGACCAAGGGCAATTGTTTGAACAGCCTGGTGACATTAATAATTTACCTTTATAGTCAAAAATTATCAGAGATTCTGTAACTTGTCATATGTATTTTCCCATCATGTCTATTAAAATTGTCCGGGCTATCATCGCTGTAAAGATATGCACCAAGTTTAATTTTCTCTGCATTTTTCAATACACAGAGTAATGTCTGGTACTCAGTAAGTAGGGCCAAATAAAAGTATACAAGAAGAAAACTTTAAGTTTTCTATTTAAATCTTACATGACTTTTAGCTATTGATACCTCTGAGCTCATTATAGACACTAATTTCACCAACCCCACAATGTGTTTGCATAACCTTTAATCTAATCATTTAGCCAACTCTGCTTGGCATCTGGCTTGTGTCCTTTGAGTGGACAAGAAGTATTCAAGCATTCAATTGCTATAGAATTTTCAAGTAAGTACAGAAGCCTAGAATCGTATCTCAGTAAATACAATTCATACCTAGAACCCTATGGCAGACTCTGCCTTGTCAATAAAATGGTTGTACAGAGTATGTTATAGATAATAGTTCACTGGCCATTTCATATAGGTGATGGGTCTCTGTATTAGATACTCTAAATATCTCTTTTTTAATTGTCAGAGGGCATGTACTAGCCAGTGAGAGAGCTGAAGAGACAGACAGGACATAGAGGGAGGAAGAGGGAGAAAGCATCCCCCCATGGGCATGGTCACACCACAATCCCTTCTCCTCTGTTTCTCCATACTGCTGAGATTTGGGGGTGCACACACATACGTGCATCCAGGATGTTTCTCAAACAACTCAGGATGGGACTCAAACCATGTTCAGCCATGTGGGATCTGGGTGAAGGCAACAGGTGAAGGTGGCCCAGGTTCTAAATATCCTTTCATTTAGTATCCCCTACAATGCATTATTTGTTTAGATCACCTGTTTTATTGAGAGAGAAGCTTTCTATGTTCCAGTGCATTTTAGCAATGCTACATAATCCATCATCTTCTAGGACACTGACTAAAAAATATTTCTTCAATTCAATCTTAAAAGTCCTAGCAGATTTATAACGTGTGGGGATATATCTATAGCAACTATGAGTGTATCTAAGTAGAACTGACACTGGTTTTCTGAGATTTATTATATTCTAGTAAAAGGAAAAATCCCTCCTATTAGAGTATTTTCTTTTTTAAAAGTTCACTTATTTATTCTTTCAGAGAGAGGAAGAGGAAGGAAGAAAGAGTGAGAGATAGACACAGAGGGACAGCCTAAAAAGGGCTTCAAACCATGTTCCACTCCAGTCTCTGTCAGCCTGGATCACAGGAATGTATGGTGTGGGTTTGCTGGGCTAACAGAGGTTCCAGGATACAAACCCAGAATCTTTCCCATATGGGACTGGTTGCATAGCCACTGTGCTCCCCCCTGGTCCTATTTGAGTATTGGTAATTCCACACTTGGCAACTGGGTCTAAGTAAATATGTGTGTCCTTTGCATAAAATGATGTCCCAGGCATTCATCTGCAGGACAGTACTCCGATCTATTCCCACTCCACTGTCTGCATACATAAGGAGACAGACCTACAAATTAGAAGTCAAGGACATGACCTGTGGGCATATAGAGCAATGTGTATTAGTTCAGATGAGAATCTACTTTATTATTTCGACTTTTCTTGACAAACTAAAGAGTTTTCAGGTAATGTACTTCATGAGAAGCATTTTTTTTTTTTGAAGAGGTTTTTGGTATAGGGTACGTGCGCTCACCAGACAGACAGAGACAGACAGAGAGACAGCGAGAAATCACCCCCCAGGGCGGATGGCCACACTGCAATCCCTTCTCCTCCATTCTCCTCTTAGGATTTTGGGCATGCATACACATGTACCTGGCATAAGTTTTAAGGACTCAAACCACAGTTGCCTACATGGAAGTCCAACAACATAATGACTATATTATGCTATCTGCTGGTCCTAATGGTTATTCTGACACATGATTCAGCACTTTTCTACTCAAAGGTAATCTTATTACCTTTAAAGTTAAGTAAATAAGGTTCTAAGAGTTTCTTTCAGATCATTACCATGCAATATAGATATTGATTTTTTTTTAATTAATGAGCCTTAATAGCTGGATTTCCAACTAAGAAATATAGAATCACATGCCATTAGCTTATATTTTTGTTATTTCTTTTCCATATTTTTTTTTCACTTTATACTAAAAATACCTATTTTTCTTCTAGGAGTGCTACCTCATATGCTTGGTAACTTAATTTTATGCTGCTCTTCTGAATAGAATAGTGATTTAATAGTATAAATGAGAGCCATACAGTTCAATGTGTTGAGTGTTTTTATGTGTGTATCTCTTAATTAAAAAACAAATATCTTCAGTTGTTTTTCTTTTGTTACAGAAAGCCTCACAGAGTTTGGTCAAGTTGTTTGAAAATTAAGGACAGAATTATTTTAAACAAGTCATTGCTATGAAGTTTTATGTCCCTTAAGACTATTGTTTCTGCATGAACTTGTGAAGTAGAGCTTTTCTGTGGTAGACCTGTGTTTTCTAAGGTAAAGCTTCAAGAAGTGACAGTCTTATGAAGTTAAAAGCAAGTGCTTACAGGAAATGACTATGGCTATGTGTAAATGCAACTCGCAGCCTAGGTAATTGGTGACAAATAACTCTGAACTTTCTCTGCACGCACAGTTTGATTTCCTTAACAGCTCAGATAAACTACAGTAAGACTTAATAATCCAGACTGCACAAACATTGTTTAGATCTCGGTGCCTCGGAGAATGCTTTCATTTCACCCAGCTAACACATTACAAAGGACTAAGAGAATGACTTGTGATAACATTTCTGCATTTTTGACTTAATAAAATCCCATGCATTACTTATTAAAACCACAGCAAGATGTATATCCTTTCAATTCATTTATTTTAGTGATGTCTCTCAAAAGCTAGAAAATAAAGGCCATTATTTTTAGGAATACAAATGATGTATTTTGCACTTTTAAAATTTTAATATAACAGTTGATAGGAACCACATTACAAAGAGATGCTATTGTATGGATGAATCCATACAATTCTTTCCTTAGCCATAACAGCTTGATAATTTTTATATTTTTGGAAGGTACTGATTTTTACATGTGAGTGCGTAGGAGCATTGAATAGTTGTTTTCAAACCCACAGAATAAATTCCAGACTGCATCAGTTGTTCCAAGAAGTCTAGACACTGCCTCACCAAGATAGTTACATAAAAAGAGAAAAACTTGGGAGAACAGAAAAGAATTGTCTTTTTGCCTAGTTGGGTTGGGTCAAATTGTTTCTGTTACTGTAAAATCATTGATTATTTCTGTGGAAACATAAATAGAAAACCCTAGATTATTAGTTCTGCATTTACTTTTTCCTATCAAAGCAAAACTAAACAAACATATTTTATATAGTTATTATGAGGAAATGTTTTATTTTAATTATTTGTAAACATGGGAAGGTCAAGGAATTTCTCACATTTCAATTTTTGACATTGCCTACAATAATCGATGAGACTGGCTCATTTGGAGTTACCACTACACTGTTAGATTCTTTTCTTTTCTTTTTTATTTTTTTTAAGAGAGACTTTTGCTATAGGGTGCATGTACTCACCAGAGAGACAGACAGAGACAGGGAGACAGAAAGCAAG